GTTGACACTAAAGAGTGAATTATTTGATACAAATGTATTTCTGCCTGAAATTGTTGGAAATTTAACAAAAGTCTCATTATTAGTTCTAGGTTGTTGCAGTAATAGAAAACAGATTCTGTCTTCTCGTCAAACACCTTCTTTGTAATAGGATTATCATCATTACTTGCATCTTGTATTTTCAATTCTTTGGTCTTTTTATCAGGTGTGATTTAATTAAGAGTACCATTCGTCATTTCATGATTTTTATCCCACACACTCAACAGAACATTATTATGAAACCCTGAGATGCCATAAACTATGACAAGAATGACTAAATCTTGTGTATAACTGATGCCAGATTTATTTTTCAAAACCATGTCAGTCATAAGGTAATTGGGAGTTATGTTATTGTACTTGTGTAAATGAATTATACTTCGGCTGGGATCACTAAACAAATTAGTTGATGTTCTTGAAACTGTCCTAATACTACTGGTAGCTGATATCTGGACTGTTGAATGGTTGATTGATGGTGAAGGAAAATACAGTTCAAAAACGACAGTATATTCACCAGTTGGAAGTGGGTACATATTTAAACCTACTCGACTGCTTTGATAACCTTTACTTAAATCAAGATGAAGTTTCATCTCATTTGTCTCTTTTTTGACTTCGTGAAAATCATTATTGGTAATCTTGACACCAGTCACATGCACTTCATCACTGAATTCAGAAGAACGGTTATCCATTAGACAACGAAACATTTTCTTCTGATTTGTATTACCAACAGAATGATTTAATATGTCATTGACATACTTCTGATAATTAGCGGTCATCAATAAGTTGTTGTTATTCATAGTTGTATCGACAAAATTTACATCAGAAACATGTGTGCTTTCATGTGATTGTGCCTGTTTGACATTAATTACTCTTCTGCTGTTCATATTTAAATCACCAGTCATCACTCTCGGTACCATCTGTTTTAATAAACTACTTGTTTTAGTATCAACATACCTTTTATTGCTTCCATCTGGTGCACTTGTTGGGTCCACTACATTGATCACCTTATTACCTTTCATACCAAGACCTTTTGATACATCCAAAGGAAAGGTTTTACTTTCAACATATTTCTTAACAACCACATCTTTGTCACTATCATAATCTGGTATCAACAACCTGCTTTTCAATGTTTGGGGTAACCGGTTGTCTGTGTCCATTTTCTTGGCTGTAATTTCTTTCATCTGTCTCAAGGTTACAGCTTCATCATCATATTTTGCTCTACTAAGGTCATAAATGGTCTTACCATTATCATCCCATCTGTTGCGATTTCCTAATTTCAACTATTGGTTCTCATCACTTTTTTTTCTGTATGTTGTCTCAAAATGCCTTATTGACAGCATCATTATTTGAAGTGGGTGTATGTAAATTTATAATACGGTGATTATTCACGTTTATATTACCTTGTAATCAGAGCTATTCAGAATATTGTTCGTAATGGTATCAACATTTTTATTACTAGCATCTGTTACACCTGATGGGTCACTAAGATTAATAACCTTTTTACTGTTCATATCCAAATTACTTGTCATTTTCTGGCTTCCATCTAATAACAACACAGTTGAAAGGTCTACAGAACCGCCACCACCTGCACTACCCGACGGCCCTCATGAATTTCTCATTAGAAGCATAATCAGTATGGGAAAATACTTTTATATGTCACGAAATGTTTTTCTCCTACTGCGCTCATTCATATCATACAAACAATAGTATCCCCATAATACACTCATCAAATCCTGGTACTGAGTGCTGTTGTACAAATAGTTAATCCCCAGTCTATTGGGTACTTTAATCACTTCTTCTGGACAATTCAACCCAAAACTGTCAAAATATTCTATGATATTCTTTTTAAGATTCATAACCACCCAATGTGTACCAGGACCGACACTCATCTAGGTTTATCACATAATATCCTAGGGGTAAGGGGGTAAGTTTCTAAAGAAACTGTGGCGCTGCGTCGGTGGGAGAGTATAGCAGGTTATTTAACACAATACCTCCCAGTTTTTCGATAAACGTGGCCATCCTGTTTCTTTAGTTCAAGCGGGCCACCACCGTGCCCAACAAATTGATCGACAGTCAGCACTACAAACGGCTGAGAAGGAAAACAATGATCGCATTCCATTCACTCTCACATTTCACCCTCACAACCACGCAGTTAAATCTATCATTCTTAAAAACTCTAAGTTACTCCAAAACGATTCAGAGACTGGTACTATCTTTTCGCAACCCCACCTATTTCATTCAAACGTGACAAAAAAAGAAGTTCATTTCAAAGCAATGACCAGTCTGGAACGTTCAAATGCGCTCGCTCACGATGCATTCATAACGTAGAGAAAATATCGGGACTCAAGAGATCCATTAAGATCACTGATCACTTTACGTGTACCTCCGCCAATGTCATTTACTGCATAACTTGCACTTATTGCAATAAGTTATACATTGGTGAAACAGGAAGACGACTAAGTGACCGATTCCGAGAACACCTTCGCCACGTGGAAAGAAATGACAAGGACGCTAGACACTTTTATCTCCCTAATCATTCTAAACAACATATGACAGTTTGCGGCCTTTCCTTACACCTAGGGTATCAACGAGCGCCTTTCATTCAACTAATTTATTCTTGTTTTCTCGTCACCATACTCCCACCGATAGTGTTGCTCCGCTTTCTGCATATAAACCCACAGACAACCCGAAATTCCTCCAATCGCTCTGACGAAGGGTTAACGCTCGAAACGTCAGCTTTCTTATTCTTTACGGTGGCCAATCTACGTTTTCAACTCAGTCGTTAACACTGAATTACCGAATACACCCATAAACTACTTTATCCCGATACACTTTACCCAGTTGATAATGTCATAATTGGACAATGCTTCATTTAGAACATTACACCAACTAAAGGGATTCCGTTGAATGGTTAGTTTTTTCCCAGCAGTAGTCCTTCTCCCTTAGAGGTTTTTCTTTTTTTACCAGCACCTATGGTACCATTGTTATTAGGCCAGTTACCAATAAGTGACGGTGGTGCTCCCATATTTCTCCCTTCATTCGAACTACCAACAAATGCAGGTGGTCTATTCGACACTAATGATTCCGCATAACTTCTAACTTACATACCGCCACCATCTGATTTTGGTGGAGGAGGAGGAGGAGGAAGAAGTGGAGTATATCTGATTCATAGGGTTCCTGGAGTGAATACTACCCAAGAACTCTATCAGTCTGCTCAATTCGACCGTATCTGACGTTCAGAATTTTTCTATGGATCACAACATGAGACTAAACCCTATTAAATTTAAAGAGATGTTAATTAACTTTATGTTATATCTTAACTTTCCTCTCAGACCATTAGTTGTAGGCAACAACGGTATAGAACGTTTATCGACTAACAAGATTATAGGAGTATTTATCAATATCGACCTTACGTTGAATAGTCATGTTGACCACATATATAAAAAAGCTTGCAAGAAGCTCTACTCCCTACGTATTCGACGTCGAGCCGGCGTTGATCAAGATAGCATGTTAAAAGTCTATACAAGCTCTGTTAGATCTGTTCTAGAGTACACCGTGCGTGTGTGGCAATCCATTCCAGGTTATCTGTCTGACAAAATTGAATCCATACAGAAAAGGGCGCTTAAGATAATTTCCCCATGTGCTGATAGATACTCAGATGCCCTCGAGTTAGCTCGGGTGGAGACCCTTGCGTGTAGAAGAGATAAAATATGTAAAAAGCGTATACCCAAAATGAAGGACTTAAACCATCCTCTTCATCCTTTTCTACCAACGCGCCTGGACGATACCTTTCCCTACACCCTTAGGCACAAGTCAGACCAGCTGTACTTTTACAAAAACGTTACTACAAACGTTGAACGAAGTGCACCGAAGACTTTCTCACTTTTAGGTATTTTTAACAAATGTGATGCATGTTCTGGTGTGCTGTATATAATTTGTACTTAATGTGTACAGAAAGTTACTACAAGAGAGTTTAATAAACTGTTATTATATTGTAATCCTGCATGCCTTTACCTGCTAATGCATTCCACAATAAAGAAGCACCAATACTTGCAAGCAATGTACTAAGGAATCTACCACTCTGTTTCTTCGTTAGTTTGATAACAAAATGAATTCTCTGTTTTAAGGCCTCCATTAATTTATTATTTTGGCAACAAGTAAGCAGGTTCTGATATGGGATAAGTTGATTTATTCTGTCAACGGGGATCATAAAACCACCTGTCTGTCCCTTTCCTCTTTTTGTTATCTTATCCATTGCTAGGCCACCAAGACTACCAATAGCACAAGTTCCAAGAGCTTGCTATACCTTTTTAGCAATCACTGGAAGTAATCTAGCACCTAAACTAACAAGTGTGCTGAACAGATAACCACCATGCTGCATAACATGTCTGATCTGTATTTCGCATATCTTAATGTCAACACCAACACCTAATGCCATTGCTTTTTGTATCTTTTTTAGTTGTGTTTTTGTTAACATCAAATCATAACCATCAATTAGTTCACCATTTGACAAATGCAGAGTGATAGTGACTTATCCTGGAATGCTTTGGCTAATTTCACTTTCTGATTGGTGGACAATGTGACTCGGTCAAGATGGCCGCAAATTTTGAAGCTCTCTGTAAAAGAGGCTAAAACTTGAATTTTTTCATCTTTGGTTAACCTTTGAACTTCTTTAGTTATTACATGTCAGTGTTTAAGTGTTAATATGTCTAACAAGAGAGGGAAACAAAAAAATTATACCGACACAGACGACTTCGAAGCATTTGTCAGAGAATCGCTTGTAAAATTGAGTGAAGGCCAAGACAGGATTCTCCACGATGTAGCCACCTTAAAAGGAAAAGTCCAACTTAACGAGCCGTCCGCTGAACGACATCTCAGCAAGACTCACAAAAATCAACCAGAACTACGAAGAAGTCAAGGGTGAACTCCATGATGCCAACTGCACAATCGAAGAAATTGAAAGTACCATGCAAAATCAAGCCCAACAAATTGGAGCGATGCACGAGCGACTCCTGTCCATCGAGCGCTATTCGCGTGAATACAACCTAAGGTTCCACTACATCCCGGAGTCTCCTGGGGAGGATTGCCGTCAGAAAATTGGAGATATTTTAACTGAGCAACTTAAAACGGAGACGACTATAGAAAATGCGCATCGCGTAGGCCCAAGCATCACCAACAAGCCGAGGGCGATAATTTGTAAGTTTATTTACCGTCCTGAACGATTTAAAGTGCTTCAGAAGAAACGTGACCTTCAGAACATTGTCAGGATAACCGAGGATCTCATTTAGAAAGATCGGGAGAAAAAGAAGAAGCTAAAAGATGTCATAAAAGAGGCATACGAAAGTGGAAAGAAGCCACGTTTTCATCGTGGGAAATTGTATAGAGACGGAGCTTTGCTCAAAAATTCATACATGTCTTGATCATTGTTAGGTTAGTTAGTAACTATAACGCAATACGCGAGATTGGAAAATTTTTTAAATCTGCTGAATGATTAATAACTCAATTGATCCAAACCTAAATCTTCAATCCTTCAATGATCATGGTATATTTACAATAGAAGAGATAAACGAGCTCTCCAGTGTAGTTAAACCGTATCTTTTGGTGTTACATCTGAACATTAGAAGTTTGCGTAAACATTTTGATGAACTATGCAATCTTCTAGATTCCACTCCCCTCAAATTTAATTCAATTGCTTGCATAGAAACATGAATAACTCCTCAAGCCGATCCGAATCAACTTCAAATATCAGGATACAACATAATAACAGAAAATCGTATTTCCTCAATGGGTGGCGGAGTTGCTTTATTTCTTAAAGAAGATGTTGACTATTGTCTAAGAGAGGATCTAAGAATCGATGGAATTGAGAATATTTGGGTGGATACGCAAAACTTGATAATAGGCGTAATCTACAACCCACCTAATAGGTCCCAAAGGCAATTTCTTGATGAATTTGAGCAACTTTTGCACACCATTTATTTGTCTAAGCGCAAGTGTTTAATACTAGGTGATTTTAACATTAACACGCTTTCTAAGAGCATTATACCGAAAGAATACCTTAATCTGATCCAATCAGAGGGTTTTAATCCCATGGTATCCGAAGCAACGCGTATAACTGAGACAAACATTAGTTGCTTAGATCATATCCACTCGAATTTTGTGACTTCAAGTACAAGTGGAAGTATTGCGGCAGAAATAGCTGATCACTTGCCAGCCTTGTGTACGATCCAAAGTGTAGCCCCATTCCTGAAACAATTGAAGTTAGAGATTTTAAAAAATTTGACAATATTTCTTTTCAAAATACGTTAAGAAATGTGAACAGGCTGCCCTATATAATAGTAGTGATGCAAATGAAAGTTTGTCGAGATTCCTTCACATTTTTAACAGAATTAACAAGGGACATGCACCTTTGAAAATAATCAAAATTAAAAACAAGTCCAATAAACCCTGGGTAACTGGAGGTTTAAGAAAATCAATTAAAATTCGTAATCAGCTGTATAAAATATGGCTGAAAACCCGTAACTCCTATTATCATGATAAATACAAACTTTATCGCAACAAAATAGTGGCCATCAACAAAATATATCGCGCACTATATTATGGTAATATACTTAAAGACTCTACAAACTCTAAGTGGGATAACATTAATGTGACTATAAACAAAAAGAGGCCATCTTTTAACATTGAAAAATTTCAAGTAAACGACAAAAACTTTGAACAGCCGTTCTCAATATCAAATGCGATCAACAAGTACTTCTGCGGTGTTCCAGCCGAACTTGCATTTAAACTGCCTAAATCAAATCGCCGTTTCTCTTCTTACATGCACAGGGAAAAAGAATCGTTTCGCTTTATTAGAATAAATGAAGTGGAGGTCATCTTATTATTAGAAAGTATTGATATCATGAAATCGTTTGGTTTTGACAAAGTTCATCCTTTGCTTTTATCTTCTGCCGCACCTATAATTTATAGTCCATTGACTTATGTCATAAATTTATCACAAAGTTATCCCAATTTTTAAACAGGGCTCTCGCTCCTTATGTAACAACTATCGCCCCATATCAGTCCTTTCAGCCTTAAGTAAACTTTTTGAAAGATGCATTCTTAATTAATTGATATTTCATTTTAACACGGAAAATACTTGTATGGAACCAGTTTGGCTTTAGAGCCAGAAAAACTACAACTGACTGCTTGGTTGACTTAGTAGATGATATGACTAAAGCTATTGACGCAGGTAGCTATGCTTTATCTATTTTTTTAGACTTAAGCAAAGCCTTTGACACAGTTAACCATTTCATTTTACTTTCCAAACTTGACCTATATGGTATTCGTGCCGGTGAAAACCAGTGGTTCAAGCCTTACTCGAGCAAACGGAAACAAAAGTTGTTCGTTAATGGTGTCGAGTGTATCTTATATCTTAAATCTTATTGTATCGCTTCCTTTTGCTGTATGAAAAAATTTAATTTAAGGTAAAGGGCATCCAATTAGCTTGCTATATTATGCCCTTCTCCATCATCTTACATTACTTGCAATTATTCATTAGCCTCTCATCTGTTGAAATGGAGGAAAAAATATATACCAAATACCAAAGTATATAGTAGTATAACGAGCCCAGTCTTCATTCCTAACATATCTCTTGAATATTCATGATATCAGCGAATTCATGATCAGATGACATTTCAGTATTATCCTGAATTTAGGCCTGAGAATGTTGAGATTCCCCTTTCGGACAAAGTGGCTAGATTACAGTTTCTAATTGGGAGAGATGTACCAGAACTTTCAAAAGTGCAAGCCTTTACATTCTCCAAAGGCAGTAGTGTGGGCCCCAAAGTTTGTATTAAGGTGAACAATATAAGTCCAAACCTGCCTAGACCTAAATCGGCCAATGATCTTGCAGAGTACTTGCGCCTACAGCCTAAATTCACTCACCCTGACAAGCAAAGGCGAGGAGTACGAGATAGTCATGTGTCCCAACACCTTCGAGCTCCATGACAGCTTCGCTGGACGCAGCAAGAACACCTTACTTGGAGTGCTAGTACGCCTTCAACACGAAGACCTAGCTGCAATGTGTGACGTGGAACAGATGTTCCATTTGTTCCATGACTCACCAGTGCGTTGCGACTTCCTTCCCTCCTTGCGGTTAAAAGAGAACAACCCTTCGAAGCTAATTGCGGAATTTCAGAAGACCGTTCATCTGTCTGGGAACTAGCCGTTTCATTTCCGTTTGAGTTTCATTTCCGTTTGAGTTTCATTTCCGGTTTTACATTACGTTGCGTGTCACGTGACAATCTCCAGGGTATTGCATGTGCTTTGACATTTTGGAGAGAGTTTTACCTTCGTGTAGCTGTTTTAGTTTGCAAAACAGTTCTCTAATGTCATTGTGATTGTGATTGTGATGTGATCATTATTGCAATTTCCCTTTTCTTGTGTGTTATCTTGTAAAGATACACACGGATTAAGGGCAAAAGCTACAGTGAAAGAACCGTTTTTGCAAAGCTTTCTTCGGCTCAAGGATTTGCAACATTTGGTTCTCAGGAAGAGCACCGACTGTTTCTTCGTGTTGCAATTTGGATGGCTTCGCTTGGAGAAGTAGCTGTGCTGTTGCCTCTGGGACGAAAATCTTCGGTTTGTTATTGTTTGTTGCCCCTCGACGAGTTTAAAGCGTTGTGCTGTTTTCCTCTGCCAAGGAATCAAGGAATACTTGTTTGTTTACCATTGCTTGATTAAAATCTTGTGATAATTTCCCACCTCTCAATAAGTTAAGAGCGTCGTGCTGTTTTTGAAGGAGAAAACTTGCATATTTTTGTTATTAACGGCCAAACGGGGACCTTCCGAAGGAAATAAAGATCATCTGTTCGGTGCTACATCTTTACAAAGTCTTGCTAATTTCTGTCTAAGGAAGACGGTGCATTTGCATGAGGACGAGTTTGACAAAGTAGTGGTAGTGATAGTGAACCGCAACATGAGGGTCTGAATGGGGGTACTTCGATAACACTAAACACTTATTTTTTTGACTGTATAACATTAAACAGTTAATTTTCAGCCATTTTAACACTAACATTAAAAAATTCGTTGTAATATAATTTTTTTTCCATAAACAAACAAACCACACCCTAAAAGGGGAAATATCTATGTTGGACCTATGTTTATTGTCTCAAAGAGGTTTTTTTGGCCATTTTCCAACAATTCGGGATTATTTCAGGACTTCCGAAGAGTGAGGAAGATATCCGAAAGCTGCCGAAGATTTCCGAAAGCTGTCGAAGATGTCTGAAGGCTGCCGAAGATGTCCGAACACTGCTGAAGATGTCCATAGACTGCCGAAGATGTCCACTGAGACTGCCAAAGATGTCCACAGACTTATGACCGACGATATTTGAAGACTACCGCAGATTTGGCTTGTAAAACTCATAAAAATTCTATTCTTAAAGCGCTTTTACAGCGAGGATTCACCAACCGTGACCACTCAGAGAGAATATATTAGTAACAAATCAGATTACGGTTAAGAATATATGAAAGTCATATATTTGAACTGCGGATAAAGACATGAATGAAAGTGATCCTCGCAGTGATGTGCACTACTTAGGCAGTAGTGAAAATAAGGCCTGGAAAAAAAATAAAAATAAAAAAAATTTCATGCCTGTACGGGATTTGAACCCATGACCTCTGCGATACCGGTGCAGCGCTTTACCAACTGAGCTAACAAGCCAACTGGGAGCTGGTCATGATGGTGGTTCTAAATAAACCCGTGAAGTGATGAATGTACGGTTAAGAATATATGAAAGTCATATATTTGAACTGCGGATAAAGACATGAATGAAAGTGATCCTCGCAGTGATGTGCACTACTTAGGCAGTAGTGAAAATAAGGCCTGAAAAAAAAAAAAAAATTTCAGGCCTTATTTTCACTACTGCCTAAGTAGTGTACATCACTGCGAGGATCACTTTCATTCAAATCAGATTACGATATTCAAATCAAACAGCCAATGGGATAGAACATCGAAATAAACAGTAAAATTAAGCAAATTTACGGACTGCCATCCGTTGTATTAATACCTCAGTATGATTGGTTGGCTTTCTGAGATGGTCCCAGTTGGTGTATCTGCACTGTAAACAAAAAGAGATAAATGCGAAAATTACAAGAAAAATGAGAGTTAACATATATGAGTGTTCAAATTTGACTAGTAATGAATGCAATAACAGAATATTCTTTTACCAATAAGATCAGCTACAGTGCTCACAATGTATAATGGTCAACAAAAATGACAGACATGTCACTCCATCCTGGCCAAAAACATTTGATTATATTCCATACCTGAATAGTCGCGATTGTCCCAACTGTTTCTAGAGATCAAGGCGGAAATGAGCGCGGGTGGTGCGACCAAATCTACAGAACGTTATGTCTGTATCATTATCCGCATCGCTCTCCGAGTCGGTGTCGAATTCATCCTGTTTCTCGGGGAGGTCTGTCACGTCACCAACTGCGACAACTCCGAGCATGCTTTCGTCAACAAAGGTGATTCTCGGTACTTCGTTTGTAGCTCGTGAAATATTTGTATCCTGGTCGACTCATTCTTCATTGTCTGTCCCTGGATCATCTTAAACATCCTCTTGGAATGTTACTCTATTACACGATGGCGCACTGGAATATACAGCTGGCGGCAGGGCTCCCGCTTTGTCTTTTGTTGATTCGCTTCTTACCGTCCTTGACGGGTCGATACCTGTCAACCAATTCCTTCATGGCTGCCTCAATGTTGGGGTCAACGTTATCAGCTGGAGGAGGTTTCATAAAATCTACGTCCCGTAACTCCACACTAGATTTAGGCACTGGATAATAAGACCCACTTCGTTGTTCTCTTTAAAGATTCCTTTGTTCCAAAGTCTTGAGCATACTGAAGTTTTTGAAGTGGGAGACTGCATGAAGGTTCTCCACCTGAGTTGTTAGCGGCGTACGCAGGTCAATGTCACCAAGATAGTCCTCGTTTACATTCTTAACGTTATCTCGTCGCTGTTCCATACCTCTTTCGAGAAGCACCAATGACTCCTGTGTTTTGCTGGAAACAGTTCCTTCAGGGCCATTTATTGTTTCCGTTTCTCTCATTTTATAGTGCTGCCTTACTTCAGCGACTGTGTCTGATGAAACATTGCACACAGCATCTTGAAGAGATAATTGGACCGCGTAGATCGTATGTGCACCAATTCCAAAACTATCATAGAGAC